ATGTATGCCTAAGAGCATAGTCCCAGGGTGGGGAGGGCATGGCACGCACTCTTCCTCCTTCTGCCCCTTCTCTTTTTAACTCATGGGAGAACATTCAAATGTTTGCTTTCATGTATTAGTTGTATTCTGAATTTTGCATCTTAAATTGATGCAGAGAGAGTTAGTGGGCTTCACCAGATCAAATTAAATGGAACTTTGTAAACCAATTTTTCTTAGGTCAGTTGAATGTTTTCAGGAGAATTGGTAACCAAGAATGTTTGCTCATTGGTTTTTATATTTGTTCTGTTTGATATCCAGCTTCTACCATTAACTTGATCAAACTAGAACTACTTGGGGTAAATACTAAAATTATGTTTAGTAACTTTGGTGTTCACTACACTACCAATTATAAAGTTATAAGAATGTATAAAAAGATAATTTGTGAAAAACAGATATATAATACAAATACGCATATAAACAATTACCACCAAGTTCACAATAGTGGCAGTCTCATGGGAGGGAGGGTAATGAAAGCAAAGATTTCAACTGCTCTCTCTCTCTCTCTCTCTCTCTATAATTGTTATATTATAACAATTATAGAGAGAGAGATTAAATAATTGTTGACAGTTTGTGTAATAATATATGTGTAATATAATTAGTAATATTAATTTATATAATCATAACACTATATATACAATTTATACCTAAATTATTAAAATATATTTATATATTTGCTGCTGGGATTGAACTCAGAGCCTTGGGCATACTAAGCTAATATATAATTTTCAGTACAGGAGAGTCATTATATAATTAAACACTGTTTTATGTTCAAAACATTTCAAAAATATAAGGTAGTTTTTTTAAGGAAGAAAATAATTGAGAGAGCAAGAAGAATTTAGAAAACTTAATTATGCAAATGACAAAGTTAGTTTCCAACTCAGGAAAATAAAAGCAACTCAATGTATTTAGGAGACTTCCAGGAAGAGGGTGAGGTGTTCCCTACAGAATTAATATCCTCCATGGAAAATAGCAAAGTTAAAAGTGTAATAGATATCAGAAGCTTTCCATTGATGAATGAAAGATATGCAATTAAGTTGGCATATTTTGATATTAACCATTATGTCAAAATTAGAATTTTATTTAGGAGTTTTTAAAAATTCATTTTATAATCCATCTTCTAATTAAGATTTTTTTTTGGTCTGCAAAGTGAAAGAGAATATCATCAATATTTGAATTTTTAAATAAGTAATCATCTTTTTATTTTATGAAATTCACTAGTGAACATATTCAATGACATACATTTAAATTAACTCAAATATACATGTACATGCATGTGTGCACATACATCCTTAAATCAAATGAAATATTATTATTCCTATGTTCTTGGCTGTTTTGATATGAATTAAGTCTAAAATATTATGCTTTTGTTCTAAAAAGTTGTGACTGATACTTTGGTAATTTAAACCTGAGCCAAATATTTAGTACATGGATCAATAATAAAATCATAAGATTTTTTTTGAAATTAGAAATACATTTTAGGAAAGGAAAATAGCAATGATATTTTTTCATAGGTTTAAATTATATTTTCAGATGTCTATTCATATTGAGAATTTAATCAAGTTAAGAATCTATCTGAAAGATAAGGCAATATCATTTGATAATCCTTTCCCCCTCTCCAAACCTAGGATTTTCTATTCACTGTACCCCCAGCTCATTTTGTCATGTCTTGTTGAAATTTTACAAAAGAATAGTTTCCATAGTCCATAGGAATCTAAAACTTTCTAGTCCTCCATTATCTACAGATGTCTGCACCCAACAATTTCAAAGGTACTTTGCTAAGTCTCTTTGAAAAGAAAATCTCACTAACCCATCTGGAATTCTATTAGTTTTTATAATTATGGTTAATTCGATAGTTCTTATAATATCTTCAGTAAGTAAAATATCTCTATTGGCTATAACTTTGTGTATTATTTTGATATTTTTTTAATTAAGATTCTTGTCAGTAATGCCATCCCATTTAAAACAAATGCTACTTTTCACAGTATTTTCATCTTTACATTTTCCCAAATCTTTGTGCCATTTTTAAATAATATTATCCTGCAAGCGTTTTTTTTTTTTTCTCTTTAAACCCCAATATACTTTCAGGGGATGGATACTTATAAGACTTCTTTCATTTAACATCTGGATTTTAAGTCTTTAGATCACAGGACACTATGCCTTTCCCTCTCTTACATTACTTAGAACAGCACTATGTAAAAGTCCTTTTAAGTTTTCGAAGCATTTAATAATACTGTTGATGAAGGTGGGATGGTGGTGATGGTGGTGATGGTGATGATGTTAGGAAACCCAGAACACAGAGGCCTGACCACATTTGTAGTACCTGCAGGACCTGTTTCCATAGTCTTCTTAGTCTCATGATTCATTCCATATACCAAGTTATTCTTATAATTACTTCCTAAATTTGGCCTCAAAACTGTACTTAATCAACCAATATTATTTGTTAAATGTTAGGGAGTCAAAAAAAATGAGCACTTCTCCTTAATACTTCAAAAGAGAGAAATATTTCCATCCTTTAGCAGGGCTCATAATATCCCTGAGCTGATCATTTTGTAGTTAAAACTCTGTGGCCTAGATACTATGAGTAGAATATCCTCAGCTAACTGGACGAAGACCTCCAGTCCTCAGCCACTTTGTCCATCCCTTCATCTGTCCCTGAACTGCCCATTTTGCTGTTTCACTGTCAAATTCCCAGAGGGTTATCTGACCTCGGAATTAAACACCCAGCCTGCCACAGGTGGGTGTTTGGGTTGATCCTTCAAATAGTACTGCATTTTGTCAGAACTCTCAGTACAGAGAGTAAAGCATAATATCATGTTCCCAGGAGGATGCAATGTCACCATGTCTCTCCCAGTGAACAATAGGTGACAGCTAATGCCTTTAAAGCAAACTCACTCAACCAGCAACCTTAGACACTGGAATGGGACCATACTGCTTACTTCTCAGCTGATTGCTGCTCTATCGGTTCTCTCTTTACAGCAAAACAAAAACTGAAAGGGAGGAAAATGATGAAGGAAAATGCCAAGAAGTAATAACATAAGTAAAAGATAGTATTTCAAAAGGCATGATTTTTCAATGCTTTAGAAATTTCTTTCTCATGCTTTTGTTATTCAGGATTGCATATATACATTTGGGGGTTATTTGTTATTCCCACATTATTACTGAAAACTAAACTTACTCTGTCAACCTAATTGTTGAATTAACTCAAATCATGATTTGCTACCATAATAAAATAAGAAAATTATGTTATCTAAGAGACATTTAGCGGCATTGAACTAATGAAACATCTGTTCTTGGACAAATAATTTATACTGTGCCTCAGATTACTCATCTATCATAGATGATCTCTCATCCCTTCTATTTCTGTTAGCTTATGATTCTACAAAGGTCTTTTTTTTCAGGAAAAATGAAAAAGAACATTTTTCTTTTGTAAGACAGGCCTTTAATTATGCTTTTTATTGTCATAACTGCAGAATAAAAATTATTTTAGTCTCTGATATGAGTGTTTGTTTTGAATTACAGAAGCTAAATGTTTTCAAAGCTAAATTCTTTGAAAAGAATTTTCTTTTCCTTTTTTTTTTTGTATTTTTCTCTCTGTTGTTAGCTTTCCTTTCAATAGATGGTGCTCTTTTCTCAGAGACACTACTGATCTTATTTCCCATTAAAAGATCAGGAAAATTCGCTTTACTCTTTAACAATCATTAATTAAAGAAATCAGACGTAGAAAGAAAGTAGAAAGACTCAATTGCATGCAATTTACAGCACCTTGGGGATAAAAGTGTAATGGGGAGACTGATAAATGATTCAAGAGCCCCATCTAAATCTGCAATATTTGCTGAATAGATGAAGCAAATATTGTAACTAAATATGACAATGCCATGTTCACAATGTACATATAACCCAAAGTGGAAGGAAAAACTCAAATCTGGAGCCATTTTGAAGTGTTAAAATTTTACCTACTTTAACAAAAGTGAATGTGTTAGTATTTTACATTCACATATAGAATTGAATAGACACATCAAATGTCAACACAATCAACATCAATCCAAGTATTGAGAGTCTCAATACTGAGATTGTACACACTTTGCCAAACACACATGGAACATCTGGGCAAATAACATGGACCACTAACTCCTTTGAAATAATTTTATTAGGTAAATATACTTTCTTTCTTTTTACTCCCCAAAGGACCTTGTACAACTTTCTAATAACAGTCTGTAATGCTGATTTCTGCTGCTTTTAGTCACTTCAACTTATGGAGACATTAAAAAATAGTTTTGTCCTGCAGTTCTTCTGAACTATCTTATGTGTTCCAGATGCAATTTATCATTCCTCTAATAGATCTGCAGCTAGCAACTGCAAACTCATCTAGGCAACACAACTGTCATGTTTGCTACAACAAAGTACAACTACCTACCAAAAAGAAATGCCAGGGAAACTCCCTCTCCCCAGTGTGGCCTCAGGATGCAGAGAGAAGGACATGAAGGATTCTATGACTGGGGAGAAGGGGTGGGGCTGTAGTATATCCTAAAGTAGCCAGTGTAGGAAAGTTGGCAAGGTGCATCTCTTAAAACTTAAGTGAGAAAATTCGGCAACTCAATTAGGGAAAAACTCCTCAGAATTCCACCCCCATTATTCACCAACTTTATTTATCCATAGCTCATGCAGAAGGGCAGACCATACATAGGACACTGTACCAAGAGCCCCCCTTATCTCAGTATAAGAGGGCTTTACCAAAGAGCACCCCGCCCCACTTTTAGGCCTTTAACTGCTCAAAGGAACTTCTCTGCTTTGGGGATTTTGGACTCTTTCTTGATCCAAGGGAGGGAAAAATAGGAAAATAGTTTTGGATCCACAGACAGCATCACTCTGTCCACCGGTGCCCCTGTTAACTCCCCTCTCTCACCCTCCCGCCTTATGGCTCAAGTGTGCCTTTTCCAGTCTGCGCTCAGAGCCTTCCTTACCTGACGATCACGTACATGACCAGGAAGTTTCCGAAGAGCCCCACCACACACACGATGGAGTAGAGGGCCATGATGGTGATGGCCGTGATCATGGAAGGACTGCCGGACGGAGGGCACTGGCCGCCGCTCCCGCCCAGCTCGGTGCGGTTCGGACCGCACGGGTCGGACAGGTTGCCATCAAAGTGGGACAAGTTGACCCAGGAACTGGTGCTCGGTGCTGGGGGGCAACTCGACCGCGGGAAGGGATCGCTGCAGTTGCTGGCGTTCGCGGGGACGGCGCTGCTGTCCATGGTGCTGACGGCCTGCCGGGGACCAGGACGCGAGGTAACCCGGAGCTCCCGGACTTTTCGGGTTCCACGCGCCTCAGCCGCTCTCTCTCGCCGCGGCTACAGCTCCGGCTATTTCTTACAGGGACCAACTCTGGCGGAACCAGAGGGGAGCGTCAGGCAGAAGGGGGAAGCTGCATCTGACATGATCTTCCGCTTGCTGCCCCCTCCCACTTTAGTAGTACACAGAGGCACGTCCCCAACCCCACAGCGACAGGCTCGCGGAGGGAGGGCTGTGGGGGATGCGGAGTCTGGAGAGGAGGGAGAGGAGAGGGGTGGATTTTGCGCAAAGCAATTCAGGGAGTCCAGCTCTTCCCTGGGCACTCTGCTCTGCAAGCACTTCTAACATCTAAGGGGGGCGGTGGCAGAATGCAGGAGGGAGTTGGGGAGACAGGCTGGGGAGAGACACAGAGTTTCTTGGCAGCAGTAAAGCATAAGAAAGGGGGCTGACATCACTCCATTTTCCAGCACCGTTTTCTCTCTCCGTAATCAGACAGGAAAGACACTGTCCCACGCAACCCTAGCAGCCCTCACACCCCAAGCCTCAATGTTCTCCCATTTCTACTTCCATTTCCCCTCTTTTTGATATTCTTAATGCATCAATCCCTCACATTTGAAAAAAAAGGGAAATGGTGAGTCTTAAATTTCCAACCTTATAGACTTTTCTGAAACAAGAGTAATCTTTTTTTTTCCTGAAAAAGAAATAAGAAACAAATAAACTTTGTTGAGGAAACATGTTGCTTTTACCCCCAAATCTCCAATGTCTCCTAGAGTGAAAGCTCTTTTTGCCTTCGATTTTGTCTTAGTGAGAAAGGGGAACAAGAACTGGTTACAAAACCTAGGTTCCACTAAAGAGAATGTTGATGCTCCATGTCTTAAATCTCAAGACCTGTTTGGAACAGACTTACCAGAGAGACACATGCTTCTAAGAAGGGCAGTACAATTCAACAAATCTGCATTGTTTCAGGGTCTTTTCTAGTGTGAAACTCCAGGAGGAGTTACATAGGTTACTGGAACCAAAGTGGCCTACAGCAAGGTCCTTGAGGGACACGAATAGATTTTTAGATTATAACTCATTTCTAAGTTCACAACTGCTTCTATTTAGAAATAAACTTATAAGTACAACAGGAGTAAGGTATTTTGTGAAGTTAATATTCACTAATTCTGAATTCACTCTCATTCCTACACATTTTTGTCTTTGCACACATCTATACCTTTTAAACATAAACATTGGAAATAAATATTCCCAATTGTTTGTGGAAAGTTATCTGTACTCTGTGAAGCAGAGAGGATGGAAGCTTGAAAGGAACATTTAATTCCAGTATTATTTTTAGGCATTTGTCTTAAAAACAGATAACTCATAGGTAAACTGTATTAATCATAGGTCATTTTGTCAGTGTTCAGTAATATTTTTATACATTTGCATGAAAGGGTATAATTTCAGCAATAAAATGTTTCAGAGATTTCCTAGAGACTAGTAAAAATGTCTTATTCTCCTTTAAAGTAATGTGTCCATTCACTTGCACTGAACCTGCTATTCACCCATCCAGTCCCTTGAGAACCCAGAACCAGTCTACACTGAACTTTGTGTGAAAGACAAACAGGCATTCTGCAGCAAGCCCTACCTTGGAGTTAAATTACTTTGTGACACAGATTTGTAATCTGGAGACTGTATAAATTTGAATATGTTACTTCATCTCAAGAGTGATAATTTTCTCATCAAAGTAAGAACTTCAACTTTAGGCTTCAACATATATTCTCAACTGAGATTGATGTTTTTCTTCTATTGCTCTTTCTCATGGTCCACTGAGGATAATTATTATCCTTTTATTTTTAAGGCAAATTTTCTAGGCATTATCATATGTCCTTCCTTAATTTATATTAATGTATGTGTCTCAGTATCTCCTAACCATTCAATATACCATTTGAGAATATACAGAACAAATTTAATTTCTCTTCCAAATACATGCACTAAGATAACGTTGAGAAATCCAGAGAAAAGTTATATAAAAATAATATATTAATATCATCAATGTATAGCATGAAAAGATCTCAAATTCCAGGTTCTGTTATTTATTAGTTTTCTTCATAACTGCATATTTCCTATGAGACTGGTCTAAAATCTTGTGAAAGTTTGAGTCTTTCATAAATGAGGTGGACTGAATAAATGAGTTAATTAACTATAATCCTAATTTTTTACTCTAACCTAGATTCTAACCACATGAACTTTAATACTCTGAACCTCAATAGTTTATCCATATAAAAGGAACATCTGATTTTTTTGTTGAGGTTTCTTGCTTATACCAGACTTTCTACTTGAAGTAAGAATAATCTATCTAATATCTAATAATCTATTATCTATCAGTCTAGATCATTGGGATCAAGCCTGTATTAGAAAACATTATTAATGAAAATAGTAAATTTCAAAGCAATGCATTTAGTCATCACATGGATGGATTCCAGGAAAATGCTAAGAGTCACTCCTCTTCCTTGAGTTTCAGCATATACTGGCTTTTGTTCTTCATGCATTTGTCATCATCTTACACTTATTTTAATACCTAGACCCTGATTTTTTTGAGTGTCTGTTAAGGAAACACATGATTTAACAGCTATTAATGAGGAACAGAAGCATAGGTTCTCTGCATGAAACAATTACAGTGGTTTGAAGCCCAGAAAAAAAGGGGCATCCAAGGTTTGATTGGAAGAATATGTTATGTATTTGTTTTAGGATATTTTCTGTTATCTCAGGTTTACACGTGGAGAGCTAATGAGAAGGCAGTTGTATTATGACACAATATTACCCTTGATCACTGGATTGCTGCCTAATTATTTAGTAAAATAAAATAGCCACATTTTTTTCATTTACATGGTAAAAAATAAGTAAGTAAATAAGAACAAGACAAGCAAAAAAAAAAAAAAAATCCTCAGCAACCTCCACTGGTTAAAGCTAAGAGAGAGGAATCTGGGAGTGGACTTGACATCAAAAGGCAGTTTGGAATCCAGGCTCTGCTATTTACTTTCTTATGACTTAAATTACTCATGCTTGTTGATAGCTGGTTCCTTTTCTGTAAAGCAAAAATGTAAGCATCAACGATAAAGGAGTTTTTCAGGACTATAGTATATGAAAGAACTTAACTTTTGCATTTAAAAAAATATTTTGTTGTATGTAGTCAGCAAATTAGCAAGAAGAATTATCGGCAACATTAAATTACATAAATGATACAAAATTGACTTTAGGAATGGATTCTTTTAAGGACCTGAAGGTGGTACCCCACTCAATCAACTTATTTAGTAATGCATTTAAACAAGTTCCTTAAGTAATCCTTAGTTCTAAATATCTTTCTTAATATTTGGAACCTCATTTTTCATTTAGGTATTGTTCTTCAATTTCCATTTGTAGAGGTTTGCTGTTACCCTAGTATATTCTCTTATCTCTTTATATTTAGATAAAGAGTTGTAGGATTTTGTGTGTGTGTGGGGGGAAGGTAGGGCTTACTAGGGATTGAACCCAGAGGCACTCTACCACAGAGCACCATCCCCAGTCCTTTTTATTTTTTATTTTGAGAGAGCATTGCTAAGTTGCTAAGGTTGGTCTTGAACATGTGATCCTTCTGCCTCAGCTTCCTGAGTTACTGGGATTCTAGGTGTGTGCTACCACACCCAGCATCTGTATCTTTGACTGTTATTTAAAGCCTTGGATCTTAAAGAGTTAGGTATGCACTTTCACTGGAAATGCAACATGTCCAAATTATTGTTACCTTCCTATCCAAAAATACTTCTCATAACACTATTGCTTTCCCCTAATTTCCCAAGCCAGAGTCTGTAGCTGTCCTTGGCACTGCTGGGTAGGCAGCATTGCATAGTGGTTACCACCATAAATTCTAGTTTCCATTTCTTGGTAAAATCCTGTTTTATCCATGAACAATTGGTAAGATCATGGTCAACTTAGTTAATTTGGTGATGGTCTTTTTCATCTTTAAAGTATTATTTCCAGTAGTGTCTATTTCATAGGGCTTTAATAGGTATTCGATGAGTTTTTCTTAATAAAGCATTTATAAGAGTCCTCAGCACATGTAAGGTGATATAAATATTTGTCAAATAAAGTCATTGACTGTGTTCACTCCTTTTTCATTCCAGCATCCAATTATGATAATTGATCCTGCCTTTTAAATTTCTTCTCATTCTTGGTATCAGTTTCTAGTTTACACTTTTAAAGTCCATACAGAATTATGCAGTAAGCTCTTGGGTGATCTACTCCTTCTCCATACATTTACCCTATACACTGTTGCTAAAATGAGATTTCAAAAATGGAAGTCAGACTGTTCCATTGCTGACCATGCTTGTTGGCTCTCCACAATTTGCAGGATGAAGTTGACTCTCCTGATATCGAAGGGCTTTCATGACCTACCTTTCTAACTGAATCTCTGGATACTCACTGTTTCCATTTTATTCTCTTAATGACTGAAGAGCTAATAGTTTGCTCCCCATGAATATACTGACCTGCTATGAAAGAGCTTGCCAAACTCTCATGCCTCTGTTTTTACTCATTTTTTTCTTTAGCCCACAGTAGATATTTAAGAAACATTTTCTGACTATGAGCATTGTTTTCTTTCATAATATAGGAGAGCTTCAGTCAGTTCTATAGCTACCAATTGGTAGGACAGTGGTACAGACCCAGTGAGTAGACATATGGTGAGGAAGATCTCAGAATCTGTGGACTTGTGCCAAACACATAATTTCCTTTATGTATCTTTAGTAAGACAATAATTTAAAATTACTTAACTGCCAGCATTTTTATGTTATTATTGAGACTACTCACCTCCTTGTTTTTGAGAAAAAGGAAAAGGAAATTTTATTACTTTGCTAGCAAAGGTGAAACCCAGGAGAATCCTGTCCCAGAGGCTGTGATTCTGCCTATCAGCAGGAACAGGGGGTTTCTAAACTGGTGGTTCAAAGGCTACATCATGTGTTCTCTGTTGCAGTTGTAATTCACTTGTTAATTTGGGAGATAGCCATTTCTGAGATTTTCTGATGCTATCCCCAAAGTCTGGATTACTTCATTTCTCTGGTGGGTATGTACTCAAGGACAGATAACTCTGTCTAGGTTGGGGAAGAAAGGTAATCCTGTTTCCTCTGAGATTGGAAAGGGGGAGAGATATGGGAGGATCAGAGAGAGAAGAAGAGAAAGAAATATTTCCATTTTAAAAATAAGTTGTAGTGGCAGAGCAGCAAGGGCTACATTCAAAGCATAAAGTGAACCACTGTTACATTTCTCCACTGTCAATTTCCACATTTCATTTCTACAGAAAAATGGGTGATGACATCTCCAAGCTGCTTCCTGCTAAAAGAGAGTAAAGTTGGGGGAAATAACCCAAATTCCTTATTCTCTATCAGGTGAGATGTGTACAGTTAAGGGTATTCAGCATCATAGCAGTCCAGAGGTTCACAGTGTCAGATGGCAGGGGACTGGATAAGGTATACATAGGGCAGGAATCATGCTAAGCCAACAATAAACAAGACAGCAAAGCATTACTTTTTTGTAAACAATTAGCACAGAAGCAATTAGCCAGTCTCTGAAAACCATGTAGACAGTAACTCATAGTCATGTCAGTGGAAAACAGATTAAGTTTATCAATGTAGGAGGTTAGGAAGATTTGTTTAGGTTTGGGAAGATCAGGCTCAAATTAGTTCAGGACAAATTTGTGACTTTAGAGTTGTTTGTGATCATTATTATCAGGCACTCCTACAGAAGAACCCTTCCTCTGTAGCCTCCAGCTCTACTTACTTTTGGTAAGACTGACACAGTGTACATCTTAAGTTAAATTAAAAAAAAATTGATATTTTTTTTTGCTGGGCATGGTGGCACATTCCTGTAATCCTAGTGGCTCAGGAGGTTGAGGCAGGAGGATCATGAGTTTAAAGCCAGACTCAGCAAAATTGAGGTGCTAAGCAACTCAGTGAGGCCCTGTCTCTAAATTAAAAAATTACAAACTAGGCCTGGGGATTTGGCTCAGTGGTCGAGTACCCCTGAGTTCAATTCCCAGTACCCACCCCCCAAAAAACACAACAACAACATTGTTTTTCCTTTGAAATGTCCATACAGGACTCTGCTTAGGCTATACTCTCCTGCCAGGTCCTTAAGACCAAGTTGGTGAAAACTGACCTATTCTTATCTACTCTTACGAGTCAGCTGTGATTCCTCAGAGATCACCCTTGGGGATGTGTGCAAAACCTTCTGGCCCCTTTATCTTTCCTCTATTAGTGGTGCCATCTACTATGATGAGTCAGAGTCCTGCTGATCATTCATGGTTTCTGTTAGAAGCATCAGGGACATTTCCATCTACAATGACCCTCCTCTTTGCAGAATGTGTACTAGTTGGCTTCCTGTTCTCTAGGGTCCTCTCAATCTCTCTGATCAGTAGATCAGGTGTCTCTTCAAAGTTTCAGAGAGGGGTTCTGTCATTCTCTGAGTCCTGGCTGACTTTAGAGGACAAGGAATAAAACGTTGGCTGCTCTTTCCTTGGCACTTTTACTTCCTTGACTTATGTCTCCAAGTTTTTGATTTTAAACATCCAGTAGGCCAGTTTTGCCAGTTTTAAAGTGGGAGTAACAGGTTATAACTGCAATATCTATAATTTTACAGATTCCTCTTTCATTTAATTGGGTTAGTTTATTACTGTAAGGCAGGCTTTTGTCCTATCTGTCCTATAGGTGATGGCTTATTGTCTTGCAACAATTCAGGTTGTTTTATTAGAAGCAGTACCTCTGTAAAAACACTAACAGACAACAGTTATGAAGTTTACAAGGAAAATACAAAATAAAATTAACAGAGAAAAATCATATTCATTTTGAGTAACAGCTATGAACCAGGAAAAATGATTTTTATAATCTTAAACCTTTAGTTATATATTATATCCCTGTTTATTTTGAGATCACAGTTATCTTTACCACAGAATTTGATCTTTTGAACACAACTATAAATGAGCTCAAGTCTAGCCTGTTTTGGAGCCATTCTAAAACGTAATAAGGTGGGAGGCAGAGTTTGATCTCAGGTAATGTAGGGTTCTTGATGAATAACAAAATACAACCTTATATCTAAAAAATGAATCAAACAAAGGCTAAGAGAGCTTTTAATTTTGTGTGTGTGTGTGTGTGGAAAAAGTGGCAAAATGCTTCCATGTTTTACAATGTCATCTTTAAACAGATCAGGCTCTCTTTATTACATTCCAAAGATACACTTAAATTTCAATTCCAATGTGAAGAGTAACACCAAATTGTATATGTAACTTATTGACAACAGATTACTTCACCCAGCTATAAAACATCAAATGATATGAACAAATACCAACCAAAGTTGTTATTTCTATACAAATCTGAGACCATTGCCTCAGATAATTTTAGTTTGGAGGACAGCTAATTGGCAAAGTAAGCTTAGGAGAGCCTAAGCTTTAAATTTAACTAAGTTTAACTTTTAAAGTATAATTTAGAATCTGTAATGTATGGATGGTAGCAATAAACACAGGTCTTCCATGAGTTAGCAAAAATCAAAGGGTAGCTTTATGTCTCTTATACATTTAGGAAACAGTGTTAATGATCAAAAATTGACTTAATCAAAGCAAACAAATATAAGACAGGTCTTCAAATCACGGTGTGGCACTTCTATGTTAGATACTTTGTATAAAAGAGAGCACTTATTGGTTATCTTGCCAGTAAACTTTAAATACATATACCTAGTCACATATATTTAGAGTATCAACTATATTGTTATAACTTAAAATTGTTTGTTTAACCAATTACAAAGTGATCATTTAAGACTTTAAAACAGATACAAAACCCTAATTCCTTTAAACATAGTTTCCCCAAGTAATAAAACTTAACAAATACAAATACAAGAAAGTTTTTTTTATAGATAAGAGCAGATCAATGTTTCAGACTTTGCTTCATATCAGTACATTAAAGTTCAAATAAATTTAACTGACTGTGCTAATTATAGCCAATTTAATAACAACCACAATCTTTTTGAGATGTATAGTCTGCAAACCTTCTGCGACTTACTTAAACATTCACAACTTCTTTACATCCTTAGTTTTGTCCTCTTTCATCTTGAACTTTAGCACAAGAATATTACTTTATCAGACAAAATACTTTCTCATCCAGAAATCTTTCATTTACCTTCTATTTTTTATACTAAAATATTTCCATACTTATAATTTTCTTTTTAGTTTCTTCTTAGTCTTTTTAGTTTCAGACCCTTTCTTAAATTCATATTCTGAAACAAATCTTATGAATGTGATCTGTGCATGAAATGCACACAAAAAATTTCTTCCCAGGATAGGGATCAGACATTGGCATATACAAAAACCATTTCTTAATCTTTTCTCTTCCAGGTGGCATTCAAAGGGCTAGTTAGTTTTCAGCCTGACCTGTCTCCATTATCATCATCACAATGACATCAACTTTAAGTGAATTCCCCCCTGTCATTTGTACCCAGTGGCTCCTTTTGGACCTTTTTCTCATACTAGATGGGATTACCTTTTTGAAATAAGATTTCAACGAATACAAACCCTTGCTCATGAAGCTTTTGATTGAATTAAACTAATGTAGGAATTTAGAATTTTTATTATTGTTTGAATATAAACATGAGTTGAACTCCTTTGATAACCTAAAAATTAGCTTAGATTCTTTGTGGCAGGAATTTCCACCCATTGCTTTGGATCATATATTCTAGCCCTCATCGGCATCCATTTTCAGGTGGACACAGCTGTGCATAACTTTGCCTTGCTTTTTGTTTGCTCCATGACCCCTTTCTTATAGGAACAATGAAAGCAGCAAACACATTTTAATGTTTTGCACTCTGGATTCTTTTTATCTTCTTATAATGTTTATTCTTTTCAGTACAGATATCACACAAATTTGATACATGTATGAATATATATGTACCTGCATGGATGTATGTGTATATGTATATACATATGTACATGTATGGATAGGTATGTGTGTATGTACATATATACATGTACATATATAGGTATATACACAATATTTTCCCCACAAAATTTGTAAAAAAGGGAGATGATATATTATATATATCTATATTACATACCTATTTATCTATGTGTCTATAATAGTTTCCCTAAAGGATATATACATATATTCTTATGTGTGTGTACACACACACACACACACACACACATACATACACACACACACATATTTATTAAAAAATGAATTTCCCAGTGGGAAAACTGCATGCAGCATGGTGCTGTGGTGTATGCCTGTAATCTCAGCAGATCAAGAGGCTGAGGCAAGAGGACTATGAGTTCAAAGCTAGTCTCAGTAACTTAGTGAGGCCCTAAGGAACTTACGGAGACCCTGCCACAAAACAAATAAAAAAGGGGTGAGAACGTGGCTCAGTGATTAAGTGTCCCTAAGTTCAATCATTGGCTTTAAAAATAAACAAACAGAAAACACCAAACTTGAGTTCATATATTTGGTTAATATTATCTAGTCTTTTTTTATTGCTTGTATTTTTCTTTCTCCTCATTTTTATTAAAAGAGAGCAGGAAAACAGTAAGACTTTGGATTAAAGGAAGCTCCCTTCTGATCTCACTCTAGACAATACTCTGCTATAACGAATTTAGCTTCTTAAAGGAACATAACCCTCTTTTGAATCCTTTTAAATTTTCTGGGTATAAATAATGTTCTGAAATCCAAGTATCTCCACAATGCTTGTCTTTTTTTTTCTCCTTAATCAAATTAAGAACCTAATAAGCAAAACAAAACAAAACAAAGCAGAATTTACACTTCTTTGGAAGTTTGTGAAAATGTTTTCTTCTTAAATGTAAATTTATACAGAGGGGAGGCTCAGAAGTAAGCAGTATGTCAGGTATTACTTTACTCTTTAAGGGAATGTTCTTGAGTATATGCTGTAGGAGGGGTATGTGTTCTCTTCCAGATTTCCTAGCAGGAGGCTACAGTCATCAATTATAGCCCTTAGTATTCCTAGAACACATCATCAGGAGGTGTGCTTCCTTAAAATTATTGGCATGTTTTTTCAGTTTATCTGCAAGTCTTCATTCTTTGAGGGTAGATTTATTCCCTGAAATAATAAAAAGTCATTCAAAGCAGGTTTATGTATGATTTTATTTTGGGTTTAAGAAATAATTTAAGAAATAATCAGAAAAAGTTTGAAGATAAATCTTTAAAAATTTTACCTTTAAAGTTTTTAGGGTGATTTTAAGATTGGTTCTTGAAGCAGCAAATATTTCTAGAAATACATAATCATACAAAATTACAAATCTGAAAGTCAATTTTCACTTCAATATTTATGTTCTAAGCTGCTTATTCTTTTTGTTTTAAAGGGGAACATTTCATTTGCTATCATATTTCAGGTATATTACCTTAGAAAATGTCAATCTTAATTATATTCAAATGTTTTAAGGGAAGATAAAAGCCCAAAGGAGGCCCTTTTAAATGTGTGAATAGATATTTGGGCTCAGCAAAGCCCAGTGAAGGAGATGCAAAGATCCCTATGAGAGAAGGGAGCTGAAAGCTGGACCACAGGAGATGGTGATGCTGTTAAGAGAGATTGAGAGGGAGTGAATAAAACACTGTGGCAGACAAATTTTGTGTTCAGAAAGAGAAAAGAGGGATATTAATGGGGCAGAGGGTGTGGTGCTTAAGTGCAGAATCTAATAATGGTTGTAAGGGAGGTGGGCTTTTCACCCAATAGGAAATGCTTTATTTTTCAGGGATGTAGAACCATGAAGAGAAAGGTTACCTTGATCTGAGGACGTAGGTGTTTTAGAAGTTGAGTTCTCATTTCTGGACCTACAGATTAGATAAGAGAAAGATATTTTACTTACAAGAGAAGATTTAATGCTTTCTCCTGGTGTAATATAAATAGACTTAATCTATTATCATTATTTACTAGAACTAGAAATAGGTTTTAGGCTTCCACACTGTCAACAAGTTGGTCCAGAAAAAAAGAATGCAAATTATTGGGGCATGATATAAAAGGAGAAGGAACTTTAAACTTACAGATACATTCCTTATAGGAAAAAAAAAATCTCTATCTACACCTGGGTGACAGTAGATAAAAATTAAACAAAAGTTGGGAGAAGTTAGTGAACCTTTTATCTGAGACTTACCTGGGGAGTGCCACGGACAGCCACATTACCCTTCAGTGTAGAGGGTTTGGTAGGTGTGTGATCACAGATACTTTCTGCTGTTTGATTGACTGAGAATCTGACTTAGTGGATTAATTGAACTGAGTGGTAAGAAGACCAGGATCAGAAGACCAGTCATATAATAACTGAACTCCTTCACTTACATGGTCTAGTTTGAATTTTGGTTGAATATAAAACACTTTTATTCCCATTTTTCTAATTCAGAGACCAATGTCCCAATCATTTCATCAACAGTCACATGTAGGGGAAGTAGCTGAATAGGGACTTGAGGGAGGGACATGCGGATGCTTCACCGCCCCTTCAGACTTCTTTCCTTCATTCCATCTCACAATTTTTGAGCATGAATAAGTCATTTGTTTTCTTTGGAATTGACTGTTTCATACTCTGAGTTGGGTGCTCTACCAGGAAAAACCCAGTTGGGCTATCATAAGTCTTCTACTCAGGTGTGTAAAATGGTCTTTATGAGAAGTTGGAAGAAATTTCGTCAGAGTCTATTCCTTTTAGCCCATGGATTCTGCCATGATCTCAGGTACCTCTAGGCGACAGTATCATTAACCGCCCAGAAGAGATGGGGTCCATCCTAATCACCTGGTTATAATACATGCCCAAACCTGTGACTATACCAATTCTGAGGTAGGTTTTGGCTGTGATAAATGAATCATATCCACACATTCATTTATTTAATGAATATTGATTGGGTATCAGCCATGTGCTAGGCTCCAGCATCAGTTACTTGGTTAAATGAATCAATAAGACAAAGTCTCTGCTTTAGTAGCACTTACATTGTAAAGGGAGGGAGGGAAGGGAGACGGGGAGAGAAACAGAAAGACAGGCAGAGAGAAGGACAGAGAGAAGAAAAATTAGTTTGTGATATAATGACAGGTGGTAATAAGTGCTAGGGAGGAAAACAAGCAAGTTTTGTGTCATAATCAGGTTGATAGCCTAACAGCACTCCACTAAGAGGTGTATTAGGATATTTGCATTTGATTATATAAATGAGATCAAAGTCATTTAAAAATAAGCTCCCACCATATTTGTATTTCCAGATATAATTCATAATGATCAGTATTTTGTTGTTGTTGTTGTTGTTGCCAAAGAATCTTTTTCTGCCTATTTGGCTGGTCACCTGATTTCCAGTTGAGAAACTGCCCCAGACTCAACCTCTTTCTCCATTATTTATGTGTTAGAGCACTCTCACAGGGCAGGGTCCACGCTCACTGTGCTTTCACACATGGGCATTTGAGGGACACTTATCCAAACCATAGCATGGGTTATAGAAGAATCTACCTATGCCAACTTACAAGACTACAATATTTTGGAATCTACCTTTTGATCTTTTTGGAATTTATGCGCATGTAGATTGAAAGCCATAGTTCTAATTATTATCTTGTTTTCATCTGGCTATCCAGTTAGCTCCATGCCACAGACTAAACAGATCATTGTTTTCCTTCAGACTTGCGATGCCATCTTTTTCTTTCTCTATTACACATGTTACATGTACTCATAACAAATTGATTTCTATTTTTCTTCTGCTCCATAAGTCTAAAATTCCATTGTTGAGATTTCTAATGTATTTCCACACTATCACAATTATCTACTTTCCCACTTCTTTTTAATATTTTTTTTTCAAATTAACTTTATAGATGACTTGTATAATTTAAAAAAAAGAAAGCCCCACAATTTTTCATTGGTATGTTATTAACTGTCTAAATTGCCTTAGGGAGAGCGGATATATTTATAATGTTAGTCCTTTCCTAAGTACATGGAATATATTTTCATTTGTTTGAATTTATTTTTGTTTCATTTAAAAGTGTTTCAGAGATTTTCTCTTAAAGATATGGCCTATTCATATTAGAATTTAGCCTAGAAGTTTATATTATTATTATATATTTGATATTATAAATGTGGTTTTCTTTTCCATTATAACTTCTACATATGTACATGCAAGCTATTGCTTTTTTATGTCAACATTTTATACCCTGTGACTTTATTCAACTTCCTTATTATTAATCATGGCAACATTTTTTATTTGGGGGTATATTTCAATTTAATTTTTGTATGTGGTTATGTATTTTGAGCATGGCAGTGAAAATGCTTCACTTTAAAATTAAAAATTCCATAACACTCTTTAGAAATGCATATTCAACAGAAATAATAGGACATCTGTGCTCAATGAGCCTCGCAGTAATATATCCAAGGTTGTACCTTGGAATGAAGTCTCTGCTTAGCTGGGCAAATTCCACATAAGCAAATTGTAAATCAACTTACCTTGAAAAATCATAACATTTTCTTTAAGGCACTATATAGATATAGTTCTTTTCTTTATGATCTTGAATGTAGAATTTATTAGTTCCGATCATTATTGGTATGTATTTCTCTATGGTTCTTGATCTTCATTTTTCTTGACAACCATGAGCCTGCCCAGCATTTTGTCCATAGTAAGAAATTCCTTAAACATCAAATCATGTCTTTCCTTCTCATCATAGTTAGAAGTCTTTACATCTTAAATTTCAGTTGTTTCAGTGACCTACAAAGTCCTAGAAGATCTGCACCTTGAGCTATCCTCTCTAGTCTTCTTTCTACCCACTCCTCCACCGCACTTCCTCCATATTGCCTGTTGGTCTTAGTACTTGAAATACCCATGTGTCTCTGTGGCTCATACCTTCACTCCCCTGAACATGTTGTCAATTAGAGCAAAAGATCAATGATCCCATTGACCTTTGTTTTTAGAGCAGCATCCACACTATGGTAGAGGCATCATGTCCCTATATCTTATTCTTGCCTGTGTCTATACTCTTTACAGTACCATTCTCTCCCAGTGGGTAGGGTGAACTGCCCTGTTATTTAACTCTAGGTTCAGCAACATCACCATCTTTCGACCAATAGAATGAGTTGTAAATGACAAAGCGCAAGATGTAATATGAGGTCTCAAGAACCCTGGGCTGTTTCTGTAAGTACTCTCATACCTTTTCCAACACCCTGAGAACCTGCTGAGCCTGCTGGAGACTGAGATGTGTGGGTTTGAGCAGAGTTGCCCTAACACCTTAGCTGAGGTCAGCCTTGATCGACCCACAGCCAGCCAACCTCAGCCAAAATCAGGTTCTTGCCTGTTCCCAGTCTCATGTGCAATGAACAGGTGCTGAATGCAGCAGCACTAATGAACAGACACACTCTCAACACTTTATTTTACTAAGACTATTTAACATTTATCACTATTTAATTGATTACATTTTACTTGTGTGTTCATTATCTTCTACCTTGTAATATTCAAGGCAGGCATTTCCTCTAGTATGAAATTGTTTTAATAAACATTTATTGGACAAATACATTCACAAATTCTTTCAGTATGTTCTGCTAACGTGTTAATTCTTTTGGGTGCTTGGGTGATAGAATTTTTCAAACAATTTATTCTCTCTGTCCCACAGAACAAAAGGCAAATCAATAAGTTACATTCTCTTTACAATTTTCTATATTACTTTGTGGAAGGTTTCCACTGCAAGTGATTGGTACTTCAACATAACTTCTTTCATTATTATTACTCTCTTGATTATTGGCTCAATTAAAAAGGTGAAAATCAAAATGCTTGAGACTCACATCGAATGTCCACTTCAAAACTGTTCTTCCTCTCTTTTGTAGGTCTAAATCATCAAGAACTTGGAGCGATAAATATTACTAAAGAAATTCATTCGTATGTTATAGACGGAATGTTCCTATGTATGCATTGAAACCTTTCCCCCAGTGTGATGGTACCTAGAGGGGGAGTCGTTGAAGGAAATTAGGTCATGAGGGTGAGTTCTCATATCGTATTAGTGTCCTTAGAAGATGGAAGAGGGCTTCCTTCCCTGCTCTGTTCCATGTGAAGATTCATCAAGAAGATGTCCATCTGCAGGCCAGAAAGAGGGTCCTCATCAGAACCTGACTATTGGCACTCTGATGTCAGACTTCTGAGCTTGCAGAACTGTGAGAAATAGTTTTTTGTTGTTTCAAACACCCCATCTATGCTACTCTGATATAGCAATCCAAATTAACTTAGATATTATAGTTCCTTAACTTTTAGAAAACATTTCATTGAATTTATTTTTATTCTCAAATGGTGTTAAGAGTTAATACAATAAAGATAGAAAATTATTTTTGGTGCATATTAATTATACAGGATAGTGAGTTTTATTGTGGCATGCTGGTATATGCATATAGCTTAGTATAATCAATTTCACTTCCTAATTCCTTCCCTGAATGTCTTCTCCCACCCTGCCCCCATCTCTTTCTTCTGCCCTATTAGTTTCCCTTCCACATTCATAATATCCCTTTTACCCTCTTCTCTCTCCACTAGCTTCCACATATGAGAGAAAGCTTCTCTTTCTGAGTGTGTGGCCTAACATGATGTTCTACAGTCCCATCATTTGCCTGCAAATGGCTTAATCTCATTTTTACTTATGGTTGAATAAAAATCCATTGTGTAGGTACACAATTTTTTTATCCATTCATATATCAATGTACATCTAGGCTGATCCCATAACATAATTCTTGTGAATTACAGGTATGCATAGATCTCTAAAAGATGCTGATGTTAATCTTTTTTGGAAAAATAACAAGAAATGGTAGAGCTGAATATTGCGATATCTCTTTTTAGGTTTTTGAGTTACCTATGTGGTGATCTCCATGGTGGTTGCACTAATTTGCATGTCCACCAAGAGTGTATAAGAGTTCCTCTCTCCCGAATCCTTGCAATGATTATTGTTTTCTTAATAATCATTAAAAATGACTGGAGTGACAAAGAATCTCAGTGTGGTTTAGATTTTCTAACTCTGAGGCTAAAGCTATAGAAGATTCTTTTTTTCATATAATTGTTGGTCAGTTCATTTTCCTATTTGTTGAACAGGTTACTTGGTTTTTTGGTGTTGAGTTTTTTATATATTCTGGATATTAATCCTTTGTTGGAGGAGTAGCTGATGGAAATTTTTCTCATATTCTGTGGTCTCTCCACATTATTTCCTTTGCCCTTTGCTGTGCAAAAACTCAGCAAAGCAAAACAAAGCAAAACAAAACATTTGACTCTCTCTTTCTCTCTCTCTCTCTCTCTCTCTCTCTCTGTGTGTGTGTGTGTGTGTGTGTGTGTGTGTGTGCATGTATGTATTAACTAGAGATTAAACCCAGGGTCTCAAACTTGCTAGGAAGTGGTCATCATTAAGCCACATCTCTAGTCAAGAAAAATGTTTTTTAATTGATCAAAATATAATTGAGAACAGAGCAATCACAGCTAAAATTCTTCCTTTGTGTCTGAGACTCTAGTCTGGGCTCACACTTGAGTGCTGGAATGTGCAGTCTTTGCCACTTTGAGCCTTTGCTTGGAAAATAAGATGGCCCCATAAAGACCATGGTGCTACCAACTGGAAACCCTGAAAGTTTTTATTTTCAGTAAAACTGCCCAACAGCTCTTAGGGTACAAATGCATCCTAGCATCATTCAGAACAAAGGTTGATTATCCACCTACTATAACTTTGTGAGAAATAATTTTTAATAATTTATGTTATGGAAAAATTTCATCATGACAATAATTAGAAGACAAATGCTTATTTCTGCTGTGTCTTACCCATTTGAGATTATTTCAGAAGTTTGTCAGCTATTCAAACCACTTATTAAAGACTCCTCTAGTCTGCTACACTTCTATTATTTAGCTCACAGTAAGCCTTTTGTTGAAGAAATGGTTGTACATACTCAATTCCGTTGGTCCCATCCACCAGTTATTTGTTAAATTAATTGCTAAAAATGCAATTAGTTATTTCCTTCATTTGTGTTCTCGAGGTCTTTAGATACCATGACTTATGGGCTAGAATTGGAATTTACGTTTGGAAGAGGAAGTTCAATAAGAAATTATTTAGTTCAGACTTGAAGCATTTATTGAATTCTTTGGAAGGTTGACTCATCTCAATTCTCAAGTATGATTCTTTTCAGTTGTGAATGAATATTTTTTCATGTTTGAATGAAACCTCTGCAACTTCTCTGCAAACATTCTGTGACACAATTTCAATAGTGCCATCTGTATTCATAGTCCATCTGTGAAAGAAATAAACAAATGGGGCTGTTTTGTTCCTTATTCTGATAGCTGCCAAGATGATTTTTTTGAATAGGAAAAAAATATTCAGAAAGAGTCTGCATGTGAGTGAAAGGGGAAACTTTAAAATCATTTTAAATGTTATTATGGTCACAGTAGTTTTTGCCTTGTCTTATAACACTCAGATAATTGAGACTTATATTAATTTAATTGAAGTTACTTGCACCTAAACTCTTTGCATACGTGACCCTGTGTGAATTCACATCCATATTCACAACAAGTGAGCAGTTATGAGATGGTCAATATTTACACTGAAAAAACAACACTTTTATGAAAATTTCCATGTGTTCAAGCTTTCCTATCTTTTTCTTCTGCCCTTTGTTTCTTTTCTTAAAAATTTCATTTTTACAGCTAGGAGTCCTAGATTTCTTTATAAGTCATTCAAACTCCCAAATGTATGATATAATAGAGACGTAACCAAAGAAACTCTGAACACACTTCTTTAAAATATAATTGGGCATCAATAGCACCTATTCCATAGCAACTCTGAGAAAATGATCATTTGACTCCCCCAAATTGTAATTACTACTTTTGTGCTTATTGTTTTTTATTTGCCTGCTCCTCCATCACAGGGACCAGGTAGGATTTATAATATTCAAGAGAGGAGTGCCAAGTAGCCGTTCCAGCAAATTTAGTAGGAAAGATTTCTACAACCAAAGAAATCAACCTCATCTCCTGGTCCGTGCTCTGTTGGGTGCACTGATGTTTCTGTACCAATGTGAGAGGATATCAGAGTTCTGTGCTCCAAGCTTCCAGGAAAGGTTTGGATGGGATTTGATTTAGACAGTTTTTTCATGGGTGTGACTAAAAGACCTGACCAACACAATTGTAGAGGAGGAAAAGTTTTTTGAAGCCTCATGATTTCAGATGTCTCAGTCCATAGATAGCAGGCTCCATCCCTCGGGGCTCAAGGTGAGGTAGAACATCATGGTGGAAGACAGTGGCGAAGGGAGGCAGCTCATATGATGATCAGAAAGGAGAGAGAGAGAGAGAGAGAGAGAGATCTCCACTTACCAGATACGAAATATATACATCTCAAAGTCACGCCCCCAATGCCCCAAATCCTCCAACCGTACCCCATCTTCCTTCAATTACCACTCAATTAATTTCATCAGGTGGTTAGTTCACTGATTGGGTTAAGGCTTTTGCAACCCAATTATTTTTTCTCTGAACCTTCTTGTACTATCTCATGCATGGTCTTTTGGGGGACACCCCACGTCCAAACCTTGACAAGATCCAAGGGCTGGTCCTTCTTATTTATTTATAAACTCCAAATTGTATCATGGCAAATTATCCAAGTCTATTTCAGGAAGAAATGGGAGGAAAGCTACATAAGCATATTGTTGTTTGGGATGTAAGGTGTTCCCCAAAAGCTCATGTGTGAGACAATGCAAGAAGGTTCAGAGGAGACATGAGAGTTTGATGGTTGTGAGAGTCTTATTCTAATCAGTGGATCAATCCCCTGGTAGTGATTAGCTGAGTGATAACTGAAATGGTGGGCTGTGGCAGGAGGAGATGGGAATTGGGGCATGGCTTTGGGGCCTATATTTGTATCTTAGGAGTGGTTTCTCTCTCTTTGCTCTCTGATCATCATGTGAGCTGCTTCTATACTCTTCCGCCACGATGGAGCTGGCTGTCTATGGACTGAGATCTCTGAAACGGTGAGCCCTAAATCCAACTTTGGTCCTGTACAAAGTTGCTCTGGTCAGGTCCTTTAGTCACAGCCGTGGAACAGCTGACTAAAACACATACTAAAATCATCTGCCTTTACAAACCCCTTCCTCCACCTCATGTTTCCCTCTCTTTATTCAGTTGACCAGTTAAACGTTTTTATTTTCAAAACTCCTAGTTGGGCCTCCAGAACTTCAGAGGCACCAAACTGAACTGATTTCATCTCTGAAACACTTTTTTCTCATTTGGCACTTTCCTATCTCACTAAGTGAAATCAATGTTCATTTAGTTGCCAAATCAGAATCTTAAGAGTTGAGCCGCTTCTTCCACCTCTCATCCCCACTCATCCATCCATAAAGGAACCTCTGTCCCAAATCATCCTCATCACCCTTCCTCCTTCCCGCCACCACCAGCACCACGTGCTCCAGTGCCATTGTCTTTGCTCCCATTCTAGTTACCATCCAGTGCAGTGTCCATCTGGAGCCCATGTAGCATCCTACTGCTGGTCCCTGCTTTAAATTGTCCAGGGACAGTTGTACTCAGACCCTTGGACTGTGTGGCTTTCCAAACTCATCTAGTTCTTCTTCTTTTCTGAAAAACATAAGTTCTTGTCTTACTGTCACAACACAAACAGGTATCTCTACCTACTCCCCCTTGTGCTATTCCTCTGACTGGTTCCTTTCATTTGGCAGGTGACTTTATATGTACGATCTTCAACAGGACTTCCATAGATTTGCAAAATTGATGGTCTATTTTATTGTCTAACATAGCCCCTTATTCGTTTTCTTGAAAGAAATGAACACAATTTGTATTAAAACAAGTACTCATTTTTCCACTTGTGTTACCTGTGTGTTCATTAAATTACATATTTTATTAGCATAGAGAATTCTATTTTTTCTTTCATGCATTATATACTTGATGTCTTACACAGTGACTTGACATAGTACATGCTCAATAAATATTTACTAAATAATATATAAGCTAAATGCATTTAAAATTGTTTTGAGATACAGTGTGTGCCAGCATTCCTTTGGGCAGAAGAAAATAAAGAACAAATGCAGTTGTGGAGTTCAGGACATGCTTTATGAGCTCCCAGGGTTTACATTTATTAAAACCTCTATGAAGTTCAATCCAAGTACAATATGAAGTCCATAAAGAAAGAGTAAAAAAGAAACACAACTGAGCAGTGTTCATATTCTCTGATCTTCCACTGATTCCCAGAGTGATCCTCTATATGGTTCTCAGGGCAGAAAAAGACATTCATAAGAAATAAGGGCTTTCCAGGCCCTATGTTGGTGAAATGTTCTCCCTTTGATGTAGCTGATGGAAGATTAATAGATCATAGCAGTTTAGGAAATAGAAGTAGAGGCAGGTTAAGATGGCTCTTGTTGGAGAAATACTTTTCCATTTGTTTGGCATTGAGAAAAATGCCAAGGAAATGCTAATTCTTATCATGCTTACTAATCATTTAGCTTCTTTTACAAATAATTAAATACTTTGCCAGAATCAGGGTATACGATGTCAAATTTAGCTTTTTTTTTTTTTTTAAACTCAGGTTCAGCATTTTATAAATTTAAAACCTCAATCCAGGAACTTCTGTTTCCAGTAGAGATGGAAACATAGGAACTAGACCCTTATTAAAAAACACACAAACAAACAAACAAAAACACTAAAAATATATGTGAGCAGTTTTCAAGATTTTGGACATTAGGCAGCAAAACACCATGGTTCCTGGGAGATGGGATGCACATAGGGTGATCCTGAACATTGTCCCAGCTTCCTCCAGGAATTCCCAGGATGCCACACCGGGAGGCAAAACCCAGACAGAACCAATGGAGGAGAGAGCTGGGGGGCCACAGGGCTAACGTGGCTGGAGTTGTCAGGGCAGGGCCAGAGAGGAGAGTGCTGCTCACAGAGAGCTGAGTGGGTCTCCCTTGAGTCTTCAGGTGCATACTGATAAGCACATGCATGCAAATTGTCTGAGGGCAGATGAAGAACCCCAGGAAAGAATTCGAGCCAGCAGTACTTGAATGAGGGTTGAGACTAGTTCCTAGTCCACCCGTGTGGAAGGCCTCGGCATTCATGGGACATTACAAGAAGTATATGAGTCTTTCACCTCAGTGGAGGGGGAAATGAACCTTAGATTAAATGCTGCTCTGGTCCTGCCTAACAAAGCTTAAAAGTAAAGCCCAAGAGGATCTTACTATTTCAAGTAACTTGTGAGTATCCCAGAAAAGAGGTTAAGGATGTTTATAGAAATATAAAACTATTCAGCTCTTAACAAGGTGAAATTCTTTCATTTTAATTTTTTAGTTATAGGTGGACACAATATCTTTATTTTCATGTGATGCTGAGGATCAAACCCTGTGCCTCATGCATTCTTGGCAAACATTCTACCTCTGAGCCACAACCTAGCCCTAACAAGGTGAATTCTTAACGTTGTCCTAAATAACAGAACATTACCAGGTATTCCAAAGGAGTGGCAAAATTGGATCAATAATGAAGAAAAAAATCAAATCAATCAAAGCCAATGCAAAATAACACACATGATAGAATTAGCAGACAAGGATGTTAAAATAGTTTTGTAATTATAATCCATGTGCCCAAGAAGTGGGGGGGGGGGAGATGGAGAATATTAGGGAGAGACATGGAAAAAAATATATCCCTGTATCAACTGCTTGAGATGAAAACTACAAGGACTGAAATATTGAATACACTGGATAAGGTTAACAACATTTTAGATACTGTAGAAAAGAAAGTTACTGAACTTATGGATTTAGCAATTTCATTTAAAATGAAATTCAGAGAGAAAAAGAATCAACAAAATGAAGACAGCATCCTACAGCAGCCTGATATATATATATATATATATATATATATATATACTAGAATCCCCAAAGGAAAAGAGGATAAGAAAAAATAAAGAAATATGAAAAATATAACAGAAAATAATTAATAGTGAAGTGCTGGAAAACTTTTTCATGTTAACAATAATGAAAATAAATCTGAGATGGCTGTTTTAATATCAGAAAAGTGGATATTAGAATAATAACATTGCCATCAGTAAAGAGAGCCATTTCATGAAACATAGGGACCACTTCACTAAGAGCATGTGATCCTAAATATTTATGCATTTACTCACAGTACTTGAAAATATATGAATAAACACTAAAAGAAAATGGAAAGAACTACAAATTCACAATTACAGCTTAATATTTCAGAACTTAGTGTTGATAGGTCAAGTAGACAGAAAATCATTAATAATGTGGAAGATTTAAATGCTCTCATTCGTCTAATTGACATGTATAAAAACTGCTCTGCACATGACCAAATTATATATTCTTATATAATAATTATATTATTATTTTATAAGTTAATGTGGATATGTTCAGGATATTCTAGAACATAAAATAAATCTCAATGATTTTAAAAGGTTTGAGTCATACAAGGTAAGTTTTTTGAATACAATAGAATTGAAGTAGAAAATAATAATCAAAAGAAGTATTCCTGGAACCTTAGTGATCTTCTAAATAGCCTACAAGAAAAAGAATTCATGAGTAGAAGTGAAAAGTATTTCAAAGTGAATGAAAACAATCAAAACACTCAAAATCTTATGTGAGGTAGCTAAAGCAGTAGTTGGAGGGAAATTTGTAGCATTAAAGTTCCAAAGTGAAAAAGATCCTTAAATTAATGACTCTGGTTATCACGTTAAGATACTAGAAATAGAAAAATAAATGAATTCCAGAGTAAGCAAAAAAAAACAAAACAGAAAAACAGGTGTGTGGGGAGGAGAATAAAATAATACACATCAAAGAAAATAACGGCAGTAAAATGAAAGTAATAAAGAAGTTCAATGAAAGGAAAGATTAAGTTTTAAGAAGATAAATAAAATCATAGGAACATAATTTCCCTTTCTAAAGGTGCATACCAAACTGCCGAAGTCTGGCTAGGCACAATTCAGGAGCCACTTGTCAAAAGAAACTAACTTTATTTTTAGAACTACAAACGCCAAACAAAACAGCTCCTCAGGGAAAAAA